CCAGGGCTGCTCCAAGTGCAAGCACAGAATAAATTCCTTCATTTCAGAGACATCATGAATGTGCTTATGCCCAAACTCCCCCCTCATATCAAATTGCACATCGCTGCCAATAGTTAATTCTCTTTGCTTCTGAATGAAAACCACCGGTGTTCTCTGACACGTTTAATCCCACCTCTGTCCTCTGCTATTTCTCAGACACCAATAGGAAGAATTACGTTCTGAAGTCAATGTGCTTTTACTTCTCATAAAACTGTGACACCTTTTAGAACATGTCCCCTGTGTAGCCTCGCATTTCAATGAGTTTTTCAGTAAATTTATATTCATCTGTTATTATTATTATAACAACTCGCCAGGCTTCTCGTTGTTTGCCATCTGATTTCCTCTCCGCATCCGCCCACACTAACCTCCTCCCCGGATGCCGTTTGTGTGGATTGATTTCTGGCACATTAGTCTGCGCAATCTTTTCTTTCATGTCCCTCTGCAATGCAATCCTGTCTTACTGCTCATGACTCACAATATAGTTTCAGAATCACTGTTCAAAACACTGAAATGTCCATTTTGCCCAGGGTGAGAAGCTTGGGTTAATAAACATAGCTCTCAGGAAGGCCTTCGATCTAGTGATATTCTCACTAGAGTCACCGTATATACCTCAAAACTGTGATATACAGTTTTTAAATAATTAAAATGTAACAATTTTATGACATAACATCTAGCCAAGACTACAGATTGGCAGCAGGTGGGAGAACATTCCATTTAAGAGATTCTCAATATGAGTTAGTTACATGTCAGAATCACATCAGAAGCTTTTTACAAACAGTGATGCCCAGGTCCCACTTCGAGTAATTATAGAACAAGCCTCCATGTCACGGAGGAGCAGATATTTTTCATCAGCACACTCTTTACAGAGACCTGGGGTCCACACAGCCCGGGCTGCGCAGTCCCTTAGGGCCCACCACCTGCCCAGTCCCTTAGGGCCAAGAGGTTCCTGCCAGAGCTGAACCTTCCATTTCCCTTGTTTAATGTTCACTTTGACTCCAGCTTCATCTTCAAAACAAAGCAGCACAGCTCCTCCTCCAGCAAGGCTGTAATTGCCAAGTTCATTAACGGACGCACCGTGTGGCTCTGAGCCCTGTTTAGCTTCCCTGCCTGGTCATTGTCTCACCGCCCACACGGAGGGTGGGGAATCTGGTCGGCCTGCCCTTTAATTTCCTGCATCAAGATGACACTGAGATTCGGGGCTCCTGTTTTATTAGCAGAATCGATCACTGCTCCTCCTAGAAGACATTGGGAAATTCAAACTATTATGCCAACCCAGGAATCACATCCTTGCTTTGACTTCCGGGATGCCAGAGAAGAAAAAGGAAGTAGCTAAGGAAAGTGAGCTATCGTCCTGTAATCTTTTTAAAGCCTGGGTGATTTTAATACACTGCCAGGGCAAACCACTAATTTGGTATATTTTAAGAGGACATTTCTAGGTCTAAAGTCCTATTGTGAAAGCATCTCCTGCCAACTCAAACAGAAAACAAACTCTGCAGAACTTCAACATCACCTTCCAGTGTTGTCTGTTTCTTTGTTTTTAATGCATTCCAGCCTGGTAGAGCTAAATGACTTTTTCCCCCTTTAAAATATATCCCCCCGTCTATCAAATGTGCATAAAACAGAAGTGGACAGTTTCATCAACTGCTCAGTCTCAATAAGACACGGTCCCTGCCTTAGGCAGCCACCCCTAAGGTCTTCTGAAGAGCAGCGTGAAGACAGGGGCCGAGAGCACAACAAGGTCAGACGGCAGCGTGCTCTCATTTTACCAGAGAAGCACAGAGCGGCTCAGACTGCGACTGAGGAGAGCAGCTCCATGAGTGCTGGTCAGCTGACACAGCTGCATGACGGAGCTTTTAGACAGGAGTCTGATAAAACACCATTTTGCCTGTCAATAACCGTAAGCAGGCCTGACCCTGGAATAGAGAGCAATTTTTTTTTTCAGATAAACAGTAAGCGGCCAAGTAACAAGATAATTTATGCACCACCACCTACCACCACCAACTTTTTTGAGCAAAATGATCAATCTCTGCTATTGCAGAATTGTTCCCGGACTTACAATCGCTCTAGTTCAAGCTGGGCGAGAAGTATTCGATAGTTAGCCCTCAGGCCTGCCCTGAGATGCAGTGAATAGGGACAACAGCCCCTACATAAAAGATATAGCAGGTCAGGCGAAGCCGGTTTGGCTCAGTGGTAGAGCGTTGGTCTGCAAACTGAAAGGTCCCAGGTTCGATTCCGGGCAAGGGCATGTACATTGGTTGCGGGCACATCCCCGGTAGGGGGTGTGCAAGAGGCAGCTGGTCAATGTTTCGCTCTCATCGATGTTTCTAGCTCTCTATCCCTCTCCCTTCCTCTCTGTAAAAAATCAATAAAATAAAATAAAATAAAAAAAGATATAGCAGGTCATAGCAAAGAGAATCCCCTGACAAGACATCTTCTCTGCACCTGAGAACCAACACAGTTACCCAGCTGTCATCCTTCAGCTAGCAGCTGTTAGAGCCCTAGAGCTGCACTGAATAGCATAAGGCCATCTACCCTCCGGCCAAGTCCCAGGAACTGCCTCAGGATAACAAGGTATGTGTAAAAGTACAGTATTCCGAAGGGAACTCTTAGGTGTGTATCTCCCATCAAGAAAAAGTGCCTCTCACAGTCTTTTTCTCCAAAGGCTCTTTGCCGAGTTTGTGGAGGGACCATCAATCTTCAGGATTACCAGGTCCCACAGCTGAGGCTGCCAAATGCATGTGACTCCTTCCAGAGCCCACATTCCTCGTCACCAGGGAACCCTGCAGCCCTTCTAGAGGAAGCTATGGACTTGCTCCCCCAGAGTTACATGAGGAACTGCAAGTTTATAAAGAGATGGGTGTCAGCCCTGGACAGATTGGCTCAGTGGCTAGAACATCGGCCCACAGAGTCAAGGGTCCAAGGTTCGATTCTAATCAAGGGCATGCACCTCGGTTGCAGACTGGTTCCCAGTTGGGGTGCATGCAGGAGGCAAAAATTCAATGCGAGTTTCTTACATCAATGTGTCTCCTAACCCCGCCCCCCTTTTTCGTTCTCTCTAAAAATCAATAGAAAAATATCCTGATGAGGATTAAAAGAAAAAGAAAAAGAGGTGGAGGTCAGAAGAATAGGTCATTCCAGCTGGACCCAGTCAGAACACCAACTTAGCTCTGAACTGTATTCTTTGTTTCTAATAGAGTAAGTAGGTACTTTCAGAATTCCATTATCTTTTCACCAAAGTACCTCTGAGTGTTCTCCCTTTGTCTCTAAACACTTTGTTGGAAACACAAAGCCTGACAGTAAAATGCAAGACACGGAGAATTCAACACATGGAACAGAAATAATACACAACGGAAACACCAGCCGGATGTCTGCCCTCCTCTGCTCCTGTTGCCGGCAGGTATAGAGTAGGAGGAGCCAGTGGTCAAGAGAGATTATCAATCTGCAGTATTTTATTTTACTCTATTGACAAAGATTTAAGTGCGCGTGCTGCTTTTGTTTCATCGTGCATCTAAAGAGGGGAAGGGGAATGTGTAGTCAGAATTTCTCGTGGGAAGCTGGCCACGCAGACTGAGGTAATCCCCGATGCCCCCGGTGCCAGAGCATGCTGTGCCCAGTCCCCTGGGGCAGAGACACCATGATTTCGGGGGTTTTTTTGTTTTTTTTTAAATATATTTTATTGATTTTGTACAAAGAAGAAGGGAGAGAGATAGAGAGCTAGAAACATTGATGAGAGTCATCGACCAGCTGCCTCTTGCACACTCCCTACTGGGGATATGCCTGCAACCAAGGTACATGCCCTTGACCGGAATCGAACCTGGGACCCTTCAGTCCCCAAGCCGACGCTCTATCCATTGAGCCAAACCAGTCTCGGCCATGATTTCGTTTTTAAAGGGCAATTCTTACCGAGCTGCTTATTTTCCTGCTCGATGGTGAACTGCCAACATTAAGCTATTTACAGCATTTCTAATCCTGAGACTTTGATTAGTATATTTTGAAGAAGATAAACCATTAATTCTTACCAAATTCATTCATAATATGAGGAACGGTTCTCTGATACAAAATGACTGATGATGGTGGAGCACCAAGAGTAGTATTACATAATTATCTCTAATTTTATTTTTAAAGATTTTTGTTAGCTTTTTATAACTCATTTTCATGTTGACGCTAGTTCAGAGGCATATAAGACAAATGCAAAATCCTCAAATAGTCCACAAAAAATCGAATTTCAGCCAATATTTTACTTTTCCATCAATGATTTACTAAAGTGCTTATCCGAAGCAAAATGGCACACCAGAGCTTCCTTTCTTCCCCATGTATTGTCCTCTGGGGACACTAGACATAGGGTAGACAGAAGCCTAGAAAACCTGCAAGCTGCCCAGCACTATATAATCATACTATCTATACCAAATTGCAAACATCTCTAACTACCCAAATGGGGAACATTCAAGTATATATATATCTATATACTTGCTGGAAAAGAAAAATTAAAAACACACACACTCACCCTTAAAATATCTCAAGTACACTAAGTGAGACTGAACTTTCCTATAAAAGAGACTCCTGGGGTATATTTCAAATGTGTTTTCTCAAACAATTCGTCAAGAATCCCTTATTTCCAAACCTGGGCCGCTGTGCAGTACAGAGCTCAGCAGTGAAGTCTAAAAACACATCACCTCCTTCCAATGCTTTCCTAAGGTAAGCATCAGAGCAGCTGAGCAGATACTACCACCAACTAAATAGCTCTCAATCTATGATAACCTAATTATTTGAAAAACATTATACTTTGAAAAATCTAATTCCACTGCTAAAGGAGAAGTTGGATAAATGTAGTTATCACTAAGTGGTAAGATTTATCGACTTCCTTTATTTCTGCTTCCCCAGCAAACACATTTTTCTTTCCCTAACCAGGCCAAGGATGGGACTGAGGAGCTGCTCTCCTGCTATGACTGAGGACCGAGTACCTTAGCTGCTTCAGGAACTCCACGTCGGAGTTGCTGTTGATGAGCTTGATGAACTCTTCATACGAAGGAGCATAGGTGTAGGCTCTCTTGTGATGTTCGTTCACGTGTTCTCGGCGCTCCAGCTGGGCAAGCAGCATCTGGTTGATGTAATCAGGATTGCTAAGGAATGCCACCACTGGCTTCAAGACTGCGGGAGGAGAAAGCACGACTGAGAATGGCTGGCAGTGCCCTTCAGAGGGGTTGTTTTTATGTCATAAAACTGAAACTGCATTTGGGAAACATCTCTAGCTACCCAAACGGGGAACATTCAAACACACACATGCCCACAGGCACGGCCGCCTGTCTACACCAAATTGCTAACAAAACTATTGAAATTAAGTATATCAATTTTCCTTTAATTTCTTTTCTAAGGCTCATGTGATTTGTCTGCCCAAAGAGGAAAGTCAACATGCTCCCAACTGCCGAAAGTCAACCTGAGGGAGGGAATTGTTAAAGAGTCGATGGCACTATTACAAATTCACTCTATTAACTTTAGGCTCAAAAGGACCCCTTTTCTCAGAGGTTGACTAGTTATCAGCTAATGGGCACTGCTGGCTAATCTTGAAATAATAAATGAGATAATCAATGCATATCAAATGCAACATTATTTACTTGAATGTCTGAGATAGGAAAAGTTTCTCTTAGGTCATATTTCTTTCATTTTTCTTATCCTGGATAAGCATTTCCCTGGATATACTTTCGTCTAGTGATCACCTTATATTGTGGTACGGTTCTACTTTTTATTTATTCCAAGTTCACAAAATTACATATTACTTATCAATGAATTTTTAAAAAAATATTTTTATTGATTTCAGAGAGGAAGGGAAAGGGAGAGAGAGATAGAAACATCAAGGATGAGAGAAAATCATTAATCAGCTGCTCCCTACATGCCCCCTACTGGGGATGAGCCTGCACCATGGGCATGTGCCTGACCGGGAATCAAACCATGACCTCTGGTTGACAGGTCGATGCTCAACCACTGAACCACAGGGGCCAGGCTATCAATGAATCTTATAGCAAAGGTATTTTAAGTAAATGCACACTGGAGTTTGACTATAGATCTTCTTTCACTAATGTTTATATTATTATTGGCCTGGATATGTCAAAAGCTATCCCAAATGGGTGGTTCCCTCTGGAGAGCACAGGGCTGGGTATCCTATGCCAAAATAAACAATAAAATGTACTCTTCATTGGGTAATGTTATGTAAAAACGGGTTTATCACATATGGGCAAATGATGTGCTCTCTGAGCGACATTTAAACTTAAACTGTGTAAGTATATCAATTCTCCTCTGTCCAACAGTATGCAAGGTCCATGCAGGTGTCCTAGAAGTGTGTAGCCCAAGCATTTGCACAATTATCACCGCATTAGTAATACGAATTACTTAGGAAAGTCTACCTTTTGTTGTGAGGATTTCTGCAAGCATTATACGTAAGCTGAGTGACTGGACATCCTTTGAGGGGAGAAGACAAAACACCAGAACCCGAGAACATGTCTGTAGGAACCTTACTTCTTCAGCCGAGTTCCTTAAGCATGCATGCAGCACAAAAGGCCTCGGCTGTTCTTCTTGTCTAAAAAATAAACAGTGAGAGAGGAAAAAGGAAGGAAAGAAAATTTTAGAAACAATTCGGTTATGTACCATTAGGTAAAAAATATTTCAAATGGGCAATACATAAGTTTCAATTGGTGTGCCCACTCCTCAACAATATCAATAGTCAGTCATTTTCTCTATCACATACTCTGGAAAAAATGTAAAGGCATGGCCATTTGGGATTTCAAACCTTAAGCAACATCCACAGTTATACATACACTAGAGGCCTGATGCCTGAACTACGTGCAAGGGTAGGCCTTTGAGGCCCCGGCTGCCTCGATATATAGATATACTGAGTGGCCAGATTATTATTATACGTTCAGAGATCACTCAGTGTACATATAGATAAACTTGCTTAATTAGACCTGCTTTCTGATTTCGCTAAACTTTCTCCAGCCCAGTGAAGAACCCCAACTTCTCTTTCAGGTAATTGTCAGCAACATAGCAGTACATATCAACACAAAGAAGATTATTATTATAGATCACACAGGCAAAAAAAAAAAAAAAAAAAGGTTAAATATTTAACTGTAGCAGTGTTTGACTACTTATATTGTGCACAGTAAGAAAACCTGAAGTCATTTCAAGTTCCACCATTTCTACTTCTTTTCAGTCTACTTCTTTTCTAAACTTTCTAAATCTCCGTTGTCTTATTAATTAAAAGAAAGCAGAATTCTACTGAGTCTCCTATCTACCTACTCCAGGACTTCTGTGAGAATCAAATGAGATGAGGCACCGGAAAATGCTTCTCATTTAGTTGAACTGTAAAATGTTTGCACCTGGCTATAAAGCAAGTCGGGTTCTTAGGCTGAAGAAATCCCAAGGGCGCTAGTCACTAGAAAGAGCCGGCACCCACAGCAATGGTTTCTGGGCTGTGGGCTGCATTTTACGCCACGGGGTCTTGGCAGCGTTGGCTGCAGTTTAGTGGATATCACTCTGAGGTGGTCGCGGGGCCTGTGTCCGACTTGGGGGAAGCCAAGTGTTGGTTTGTTGGTGCCAGGTCCACGTGCCATTTCTTTTTAAATGGCCAGTGCACATCATGGCAGCTCCTGCACTGAGCGTCTACCCCTCTCCCTCCTAGAGCTCAGTCAGGGGAACACCTTCGGAGTGAACCAGTCAGAGGTTGGCCAAACAAGCCTGATCTCTGGAAAAAGGAAAGGAGGATGCTTCCCCGATACCCTCTGCCAACTTCCTGCAGGATATTCCCATGATGCTCCCTAGCATGTGGACAGCAGGAATTGCTTCAGAAGCCAAGAAAGAATCGTGAGTCAAATGGCTGCTTCTGCGTCAGCAGATGTCCGTCTTGCTTTCTGGTAGACTGTAGCCCTAATCCTGGCAGCTTTCCTTAATCGGTATGAATTTGTTTCCTGCAGTTCCTTTTCCTTACTTCTGGGTTCTCATTCCTTGAATGAGGAAAAGGACTTTTTTTGTAAATATCATATGTTCACTATTACTTCATTTTTCCTTCTACACCAAGAAGTATATATGATCCCAGCATTGTACAGATGATAATATTAAGAACTAAGTGGTTAAATGAATAGTCCAAAATACAGAGGTAATAAATAGCAGAAATGACTCTACAGTACAGATTGTTTACTCTACGCTGTAATCAGAGATTGTAAGGATGAGAGTAGAAAAAAACTGCAGTTAAAGAAGGAAAATATGTGAATAAGAACATTATTCTTCCCCCTTAAGCAGCATGCCGGTGCTTGACTGGTAAAACACAGGGGTTGTAAATCACTACACAGTTAAAGACACTATCGATTTAATAGCATAAAAAAACAATCATTCTCAGATTCACTTGAAACCTGCTGGAACAAGACAGGACAAAGGAAGAGGAAGCAGAGGCAAGAATTAAATGTGATCTGGACGGGCTTACAGCAGCAACAGAATGTTGGCCTGGAAATAAGAACAGGCTGACCGGAAAGCCACCTCCACACTCTGCCTAACAGTCCGCCAGAGAATGTGTTGCTTTTATTAATGCAATTTGTTATTCTCTTGTCTGACAGCGGCCAATTCAATTGGATCCTCCGGGGCTGCCAAGCCATTTCACACTCAGTGGGCACCTGCACATGCATGGAGACTGCTAGTTTGGGGGCACAGGTTAGATGGGGCAGGCAGGGGCAGACCTAGCCAACGAACCTGAGCTGTCTACCAGTCTTATGTGTGATGAGCAGAAGGTGACATTAGTCCTCCAGGGTTCACCTCCAGGACATGCATGATCATCTATATCAAAAAGCCAATGACCTACCGGCACTTTTTAAAATATCCATAATCCGCTGGGACCGGTTTGGCTCAGTGGATAGAGCGTCAGCCTGTGGACTGAAAGGTCCTGGTTCGATTCCGGTCAAGGGCATGTACCTTGGTTGTGGACATATCCCCAGTAGGGAGTGTGCAAGAGGCAGCTGATCGATGATTCTCTCTCATCGATGTTTCTAACTCTCTATCCCTCTCTCTTCCTCTCTGTGAAAAATCAATAATATATATATATATTTTAAATATCCATAATCCCAGTGATAGAGTCTTTTCTTTAATAAGGACCATCAACCAGAACATGTAGGCAGGGCCCAGATATCAGCAAAGTAAATCCTCCCTGGGCATGAGACAGCTAGAAGCCCAAAGAAAAGGAGTTTCTCCAATGAAATCAGTTCTCTATTTCTTTTACTCTGATGCTTTGTCTGTAACATTTTTATGTTGTTCACAAAAGCAGTAATTTCAGGAACTGGTAAATGTCACAGTGAAAAATATATTCTTATGTTAAAATTAGATAATCATAAAAATACTCATTTCTCTAAACACGTGCTCTTCTCCCAAATCTAAATCAACCATCTTTCTAACGGAAATAAAACACTGATTGAAATACGGGACCATAATTTAAATGATTTACTTTACAGTGAGCTCCCACTGAATTCAAACAAGTCTCGGCAGAGTCTGCCCGTTAGAACTGTGGAGCCTTTACAGATCAGCAGGTGCCCCGAGGGCTGCTGGACCCTAAAGGAGAGGTGGGAGCCTCTGAGATCTGGGGAGGAAACCCCAATCCCACCCTCACTTTCCTCATTAGTTCACATCCCCTCTTCCTGGCAGTTAGCTTCTTTATAAACAGCAATAGTCAGAGGGTGGTCCGGAGGCCCCTATGTGTCCCCAGGGCCCTTTCAGGGGGTCTCTGAGGGCAGAGCTACATTCATAGCAGCACAAAAATGTCACATTTTTTCACTCTCGGTCTTTCAAGCGCAGCAGAGTTTTCTGGAGGCCATGAAATGTATGATGACATCATCACTCATGGTTAATGGGAAGGGTACACTTGCACTTTAGATTTCTTAGTTTTAATATCTAACATGGTAAATATTGATAGATGGGACAGTAAGTGGTGAGCTAGTAAATGTTTAACAACTGGCTCTCCGAAGGAGGAAAGGAAGCTCTGATTTGTGGCATTCACCCATTTCACAGTGTAAGCGCCACCACCGTGGCCAACTGCACGCTAACACCTGATATCAGTGAACTCCGAGTCCGCTCCCGTGAACCAGGACTGGCTGGCCCAGCACACCACGAGATGGAACCCACAAACACAAGCTCTTTTATTTTTAGGCTCTCAATAACTCTTAAGAACATAGAGGGCTTCTGAGACCAAAAAGTCTGAGAATCGCTGCTTTTCAGTCATGTTTTCAAACCATGAGTTGTAACCCACAAGAAATAAAATAAAATTTACTTAGTCTCAAACACCAGTTTAAAAAAATGTTAAGAAACAAAAAAAATACCAATTATCACATATAATAAGAGTACTGTTTCACAGAATTGGGTCCTGATATAAATTGTATGTCTTACTATGGGTTCCAGTTTTTACAAGTTTGCAAAACACCGAGGCAGAAAGCTGGAAACTAACAGGCATGGGATGGCTGTGGGCTGTGGTCTCATAAACGGAGCCGGTGAGACTGAGGGAGAAGACGTGGCAGGGAGGGAGGCAATCAGCCGAGCCCGGACGGCAGCTGCTGCACCAGCCTGTTGAGCAACCAGGTCCGCCGAGCACATCAAGGGCAGGACGGAGCCCGCCCTCTGATACACGCACACACCAGCTCTTCCCTGAAGAGAGTCTGAGTCACCGGCCAGTAAGGACGCCAGCGCCTCCTGCACAGACCTTTCCCGTGTGATGGTCCAAAAGGCCACAAGCCTCACGCTGGCAATTTCACATGGAAACGTCGCTAATTACCTCCCACAAGCTCCAATATTAAATTACTTTAAAAATCAGTTTTCAGGACTCTCACACACACACACACACATCAGACATTATAAAACCTTATGCTTAAATTTTCTATTTCTAGCCTTGCCGATGTGGCCAGTGGTGGAGTGTCGACCTCTGAACCAGGAGGACACAGTTCAATTCCCAGTCAGGGATATGCTTGTGTTGTGGGCTTGACCCCCAGTAACGGATGTGCAGGAGGCAGCCGATCAATGATTCTCTCTCATCATTGAAGTTTCTATCTCTCCCTCTTCAAAATCAATAAAAACATATTTTTAAAGTTTTTTCTATTTCTAGGTATCCATAATACTATAAATAATCCATGAGAGTGTTGACTCAATAAAATTCTCTTCACTGTTTAAGTTATTTATAAAATTAAACAAGTCTGTAAAGTGGTTTTCTCTTACAAAGTTATTTTGTTTAAATCTATTCTATCATATATATCAACAATATAATTATTCCCTTCACTATGTCTACATTTCAAGCCAAGTGTCAGCAAGACAGAACATTCTAGAGCCTTGACTGCGACCTCTTGCTCAGTAAGAACAGCATCTCCATGTGAAGAAAGGCAGGGGGGGTTATATTACAACGTTTACCTGGCATTCGCAGCCTTCAGGTCACAGAAGTGAGTGAGCAAGGTCCTCACCACGTCGTTGCAGACAACCTTCACCACGTCCACATGGCTCAGCCTGTGGTGCAGCTGTCTGGCAATCTCCCAGAAGTCCTCCAGGAGCAGGTTGTAGAGCTGCCCCTCATCTTTGCTGAGGTTCCCGTACCAGGACAGCACGTAATCTCTGTAACTGTAGTCAAACACTGCGAGAGCAGACAGAGCAATGAGAACACTCAGACGAAGGAAGCAACCCCAAGACAGCATCTCTACTGGAGACTGGCCTCCCACTGCTTAACGTATGAAGAGAGTAGAAAACAAAATAAGAAGACAAGCTTCCCTGAAACCTTTCCAAATGAAACATTCTCATCTAACTACAAGTTCTGGGGTGTGGTGACTGGTGAGCATATGTCCCGGATGTTCTTGGACAGCCCAATTTTTAAATAGTCTACCTTGGTGCCAAACCATCTAAAACAGAGCATCTTAGACAGTGGCCACACCCTTCTGGAGTGTACAGGTTATATCATGTGTTGCCTCTCAGCTCCAGATTCACCCATTTCGCCATGCTTTGATACTGGGGCTCAACCCTGTACACACGTCTTTGCCAACTGACACAGTGTTAAGTCCATGTAGGAAAAAAAGGGGAAGCCAATGAGCGATCTTTGAAAGAAATCAGGTCTTCTGAAAATTAAAAATGTTACTGGGCTTGCGTGTGATTCCACCAAGAGCTCCAAAGAAGCAAACATTTAGCCACATAACCCTGTTCCCACTGAAGGGCCTGGGCTATTTATAACCGCTACTTATTTTAGTAGGTTATTTTTCCGACCACCACTTGGCTTGGCTTCATTTTTATGTGACCATACATCATTTCCTGCTTTGCTTTGCTTTGCTTGTCTACCACACATTGGTTTATCCCCAGGAATCCTGTGAAACAAAATGTAACTTAGGATCCTGACCTATTCCACACCTGGCATCCAAATGACTAACCCATAATCCTAGATAATAAAAACCTAAAATGCAAATCAACCAAACAGTGGAATGACTGGTCAGCAGGGGGCGGGACCCGAGAGTGAGCGGCACCAGGCCAGCCAAGGAGGGTGCCAGTGGGCAGAGGGAGGGGATGGAAATGGGAGGCAGAGGGGGCGGCGTGACCAGTGGTGGCAGAGGGGCAATGGGGGTAGTTGACTGGGGCATCATCTCCAGAGTATTAGGCTCGACCCACAGTAGGGAGCATGCAAGAGGCAGCCAATCAATAGATATTTCTCTCTAATTTATGTTCCTCTCACCCTCGTGTTCTCTCTCTCTCTCTCTCTCTCTCTCTCTCTCTCTCTCTCATGCAAGAGGCAGCCAATCAATAGATATTTCTCTATAATTTATGTTCCTCTCACCCTCGTGTTCTCTCTCTCTCTCTCTTTCTCTCAAATCAATAAAAACATAAATAAAAAGAGAGTGAACTCTAAGAAAGTCATTTTTTTTTCAACTCTGCCTTTCCCCAGAGCAATTCAGAGACACAGTCTTCTATGTCCAAGAGGTAGAGCCCCATGACTCACAAATGTCCATCACCTGAATCTCTAAGAACAAAGAACTAGTCCCCACTCAACCAAAAACTGGCCTCATGATAGTGATAAGGACAACAAATAATTCCCTTGTTCATACTAATGGCCCTTTATGGTTTGTAAAGTTTTAAAAATGCAATTTGATACTTGATAATCACTATCTGTAAGTAGAAGAAATTCATCTTCTGGGAAGAGCTGGGGTTATTAGTTTATGTCACTGATGGATCCATTCATTCGGCAACATACCGCATACACCGGGAAAAGTGTCATACACCGGGTGAGCTGAGCCTAACGGGTGGGAGGAGGCATGCTCTTCCAAGTGGGAGCTCTTCCCATAGCAGCACTTTTTCCCGGACAGTGTTCCCTCCTCTGGGACTGGCCAGAGGGAGCCTGGTACCAGCAATTACCACCTTCTCCAGGACATGCTCCAAAGAAACTAAGAGGTCTGTTTACTTGTAAAATGACCTGATAATTATCTTCTGTTATAGTGAGATTTAATAGTTAAGTCAAAAGATTCGTTTAAAGTCTTTTTTCCCCTCTGTATCTGTCAGTTTCCCAGGAAATGTAACTTCAGCAAAAACTTTTAGCTATCTGGTACAGGAGGGCAGCTGTTCCGACTTCTCAGACAGACACACAGATCATTCATACTGTATCTGAACCCCTCAATATAGTTTCTACATGTGAACTGGCTAACAAAGCACAGGGATGCTATCCTTTGATCATCTCCGATTATGCAATTAAACTTCCAGCATCTGAAGCTTAGTAATTCTTACTACTTTACAGGAAATCTAACCATATTATTTTGTTCTGCATACTGGCCTATTACTTCTTTCTTTTTAATAATTCAATCTATAAAAACTTAAGATTTTAAAAGATAAATCTTAAGTAACTATGTTGTCAACTTTAGTAGCGACAACAAGAAAAACCCACATACAAACATGCAGACACACATATCTGCCTTGTAATTTACTCAACTCTTAAAATGAATCTGCTTTTAAATTATACTTTCTAAGAGGAATAAAATATAAAAAGATAAAATGGTACACAAATGTTATCTAGTTTAATCTAACTTCAGGGAGAAATTTTAAAATAAATGTTCTTAAGCATTTCATATAAATTGAACTTAAATTACTATCGCCTTAATAAATATCTCTGATATAACTCACAAGCATACCAAAAGACCCTCAATTTTATCAAGGCAAGTCCACTAAAAATAGCTAATAATATTCAGAATTTCAATTAAATGTACTGGTCCCAAAGTTTAGAAATGTAAATTAAAATATTCTAGACATGCAAGTTATTACCACTACATATTTTCTAAATGTTTACAAAGCTGTTTAGCAGCTTAGCCTTCTGGACACATTTTTAGATTCTAATTCCTTATTAATTTAAATGTCCAAAATGTTTAGTAGGCAATTTTGTTTTTAATTCGTCTCTTGTTGATTTTCAATGAAATGTCCTATATAATAAAAGGCTAATGTGCACATAGGCTGAACTGCAGAACAACCTGTGGCTATGACGTGCACTGGCCACCAATGGGCAGACATTCAACCCAGGAGCTTCCCCATGGTAGTCAGTGTGCTCCCACAGGGGGAGCACCACTTAGCCAAGAAGCCAGGCTCATGGCTGATGGGGGCAACAGCAGTGGCAGGAGCCTCTCCCGCCTCCACAGCAGTGCTAAGCGTTAGTCAGACATCCCCCAAGAACTCCCGGACTCTGAAGAGGGCATAGACCAGGCTGAGGGATCCCACCCCACCCCCAGTGCAGGAATTTCGTGCACCAGGCCTCTAGTTTTAAATAATTACTTTGTTGCCTTGTCCAGGTGGCTCAGTCCTGTATACCAGAAGCCTGTGTGTTTAATTCCTGATCAGAGAACATACCTAGGTTTTGGGTGTGATCCCTCGTCAGGGTGCATATAAGAGGCAACTGATTGATGTTTTTCTCTCACATTGATGTTTCTCTCTCTCTCTCTTTTCCTCACCGTAAAATCAATAAGAAACCTATCCTCAAGTGAAGATTTACAAAAAATATATATATTATTTTGTTCATTGTGTAGAAAAGCTTTGCAATATTGTTTGTTAATATATTGGCAAGAACCATGTGATTAATATACTTTATTACTAAAATATACATGTTGAATTAATCTTGGTAAAACAGCAACTTGAAGCCTAATTCTACATTTGCTTAGTTTGATTTGGGGACTGCGCTGTCACTGATACAGCAATCTAAGTGAGAGAAGGGCACGCTCTTGGCCATACTGTGTCTTTTTCTTTTTTCCTGTGTTTCCCTTTTTTCCTCCAATTTTATTTTGCATTGGTTTTTGGGTATAGAGCTGAGTAGTTGGATAGTCATGCACTTTACACAGTGTTCCCCTCGATATTTCCAGTACCCTAACTGGCACTATACATAGTTATTGCAATATTCCATTTCATGTATACACCACATTTTACTTACTCCTTCATCATCTATCCTTGGACACTTGCGTTGCTTCCACCTTTTGGCTATTGTTATAAACATAATGCTGTTATAAACATGGTCTTTCTTTAATTTTTTAAGACTTAGAAGTTTCTCTGTACTTAGGCATGATGTTTATTTAGGGTGCAATATTATTGAGCCTTAAAAGAAAGGATATGCTGATACATGCTACAACATTGATGAATTTGAGGACATTATGCTAATTAAATAAGCTAAATACGAAAAATACTATATGGTTCCACTTATGTGAGGAACTTAAAAGTCAAATTCATAAACAGAAAGCAGATTGCCAGGGGCTGGGGAAGAGAGAGAGAGAATTGTTTAATAGGTATAGAGTTTTGCCGAAGCCGGTTTGGCTCAGTGGTAGAGCATCGGACTGCGGACTGAAAGGTCCCAGGTTCAATTCCAGTCAAGGGCATGTACGTTGGTTGCGGGCACATCCCCAGTTGGGGGTGTGCAAGAGGCAGCTGGTCGATGTTTCTCTCTCATCGACGTTTCTAGCTCTCTATCTCTCTCCCTTCCTCTCTGTAAAAAATCAATAAAAAATATATTTAATAGGTATAGAGTTTCAATTTTTCAAGATGAAGAGTTCTATGGACTTTACACAATGCAGATGTAATTGGCCATCAAATAAAAATTCATGAGGAAATAATCTTGATGCTATACTCAGACAAGAATGATAGGTAAATTTGCTAGAGATTATTTTCCTTTTAGAATAAATATTGGAACATAATGAACTGCTCTATATGGTAATTATGTACTCTTATTCCATCCTTACCTTCTTTCAGAGCTTTATCCATATTATGAGAAATTACTACCCTTCTAGACTGAACTGACTCACGTGAATTTCCATACACAGGACTCTGAAATGTAACAAGAAAAAATACAGATTACTGAATTAATAAATCATATATGAAAATAAAACCAAGGGTATGAAATACCATCTAAACAAGCAATAAGATTCACTTATCAGATTATAAAGTTCTCTTGGGGAAGCAGCTAAATGTTTTAGTTTAGTTTAAAATTATTTGAAATAAACAATTAAGGAAGGATTTTTTTTTTCTCTTTCAGATATCCAAACAGTATGATGCAAATATAGAAATAAACAAATCAACAGAACGGCAGAAAGTACAAAAACATGCAAAATGTTTGGCAACACATATACCAAACTACGTGGTTTTCTCTAGGTGGCACAGGATTTAACTTTTTATTCCATGTGTATGTAACAGCAAGTTTTAAAAATGTAAAAATTTTTTAATTGTAAAAAGATACAGCTTGGCAAAATAAAGAGGTGGGGCATGAAAGAGAGAATTACAGAATTAAAATCCCACTATCAGGCTAGTAAGAATACATTAAAGAGGGAAAAAATTTAATTGATCACATACCATAATGATCAAAAACATGTATAATGTTATTGGGCCCACGTATTGGGTTTTTTTGTTGTTTTTGTTTTTTGTTTTTTTAATATATCTTTATTGATTTTTTACAGAGAGGAAGGGAGAGAGATAGAGAACTAGAAACATCGATGAGAGAAACACTGACCAGCTGCCTCTTGCGCACCCCCTACCGGGGGTGTGCCCACAACCAACGTACATGCCCCTGACCGGAATCGAACCTGGGACCTTTCAGTCCGCAGACCGACGACGCTCTACCACTGAGCCAAACCGGTTTCGGCTCACGTATTGGTTTTGATGGGTAAAGAGTTAACTAAGTAATGTTAAGAAAATGTGGGGTTCTTTTTTTTGGAGGGGAGGTGGCTCCATAAACATTAGCACTGGCACATTGCTAAGGAGATATAAATGGTTACTATTACTACCACCCTCATCCAACCAACTAGCCTGGGGCAATCACTGTTCCCAGGCAGGGCATCCAATCAGCCCCCAGCCTGGGCCACCCAACCCGGAGGAGACCATTTATAGTTCCGGCTACTTCTCACTGTCCATTGGTCAGGTGCCAAGAGTGCCATCTGTTTCTATGATCACTGTTATTAAAAACAAACAAAAAGCCATAGTTTTACCATCCCTTAGTTGAAATACTTTTAAAAGCCTTACGTGTACAATTACACTCAGGAAAGAAAAGAATTCTTTTATGCTACAATTTGACATAATATTCAATACTTTCTCAAGAAATATTTTTAAAACTATAAATAATCATAATCCTATAGACAAATGCCATTTAATGTATAAAAGAAATACACTCTCAGTTACTTAATACTATTTTCTAGTCCCTGAGTAACTTGCTATAAAATTAAGTGGTCAGTACATTTTATTGTCATTGTTTTAAATTTATTTTGTGCGGAAAAATTTGAAAAACTGAGAAGAATTTTAAAATTCAAGTGCTTTTTAGATTTAATATTTTTAGAGCACTATAGTGACAAATAACTTTAATCACAACTTCTCAAGCCTTTGGCAGATAGTCTGGTATAGTTTCCCAAATACAGGTATGTTCGTTTTAGTGTACAGCACTAATCAGGTGATACAACCAAAGTCACATAACACTTATTTGAGAAGTTCCACAATGTGGGTTCTTAAAATGCAAACTGTCTCAAAAGGCTGGGAGAGAAGCAGATACTCTGAGCTTGTGTCTAGCCTCACAACTTCCTTCAAAACTTAATTTTTTTATTCTAACTTTTACTTTTTCTTTTTGTCTGCCTAGTCAGGGTCTACTACTTCTTGCCATATGTCTGCTTCAAACTTAGATATAAAACATATAAACATATGTTGTCACTGCTGTCTGTATCGGAGTAAGAATTACTCTCTTTACCCATCCCCAAACAAGATTCTTCATCTCCATCCGTCCCATAGCCTGATGGGGAGTCCGTAAGTACGGAGAAAGGGAAGACAACAGAAAACATCCCAGGCCAAAAATAACTGCAGCACTATGCATGGAGATTCCTTTTTTAAGGATTTAATATTTATGGAGGCAGAATCTCCTTATGTCTAAATTCCTACACGCGTGTCAGTCACTACATACAGTACTTCACTTCTTTCCGATCACAAACATGCCATTTACTAATCATTATCCAAGGAGGGGAAAGAAAAAAAGGAAGGAAAGGGAAGGAAGGAAAGAAAAGAAGGGGGAAAAGGAACAGAGAGAGGTAGGGAAATAGGGGAGAGGGGGTGGGGAGGGAGAAAATGCAAAATGTGAATAGATTCCTACGGTCCAGAGGCCAGTGAGCAAACACTGCCTTCATTTTCCTTCTAGTTATAGATTTGAAAAAAGAAACTCCACACGCAGAGACTTCTTCAAAAGACCTATCCTTTAAAGCAAATGCAGACTTTCTCCTCTCTGCACAAACACAGCCTCATTCCTGAGGCGCAGCCTACCTCTCTGCCTGACACTCACCTTCCGAAAATGCTGGTTTTAGGGCAGATGAAAGAAACGTGTGGGGCTTTTCCCACTGCCAGAATCTCCAATATCCTAATTCTGAAATGAGGGCTTTCAAAGTCCTCTGGCCAGCTCCTGTGTTCCGTGTTCTGTATCCATACCACGTTACTCATTCGCAGAAAGCTTTGGTAAATCAGTACCCTGGTCATGTAAAACATATGCCTTATTTTTTATGTAACTAAAATAAGTGAAATCTTTCTTAATTTTAAGATTTAAACCTAGGTTAAAACCTGGCTTGCCAAGATCATGTTTAATCTCTAAAGAAAGAAAATGAGAGATCTCAACATGGAAATGCCCATTTCAGAAAATGCTGAACAAAACCCTGGAGCGTGTCTCTAATACGCATATGTAACCAGATCCCCATCATCACAGGGTCCATGCCATTTCCAAAGCCCTTTCCTGAGAACATATCGGCTTTCTGTTTACTCTGAGCATCAGCTTTTAGTCCACAGCCACAGCACACCCCGGGTGTCCGTGTCAGGGCTGAGAAGCTGGGATGTGTTATAGCTACAGAGCCTCCTGAGGAAACCACTCCCACAGAGGATCCATGCCCAGGGACCTGGGCACTCTGACACCGTTAGCAACAGCCAGGAACAGCCTGGAAGCTGGCCAAGACAGAGAGCGCATTGTCCACTGTTTATAAATATGACATTGCTTCCCGTGCCGCTTCCTGTGGGAGCGCGGATGGGCTGGGACAGCCAGCGCGTGACTGGTCATCCCTTTCTGTCCAGTACTGGAATACTCAATACTCAAAATTCCTCTCTCCCTCGTTATATACGTGCACACTTAAAAATCTTCAAATGCATTTGTTTTAAAAAGAAAAGCTCTTTACAGATGTGAGGAAGTGATAGGTATAATTCGCTGTGAAACTAGTGGAATAGTCATTTATCCTGAGAAAACAAACACAAACCCCCACTCACCAACACTAACCACACGGAGCTGTCACATGGCTGAGTCTTTCCAGATATTCTCAGCATCTGACCATCTACTGGGATCTCGTGACAAACATTCTCATCCTTAAATTATGCTCTCAAAGTCATGGCTCCTTTCAAACCAATCATAGTCTGCCTCGGCCTCATAAGATAATTTACTTCAAACCAAAGCAATGAAGGAATCACATCTGTTCCCTCTCAGAAAGGTAAGTACGGACTAAGGAACGTGAAAGCCATCTCGTTTAGCTAAGGTGGTGACTTAGCAATAAAAGCCATGGCCAACCCGGAAGGTGAGCAGCCACGCCCCAGAGCTATGAGGGCGGCAGGCAGAGTGGAAAGCACCCCGCTCCCAAGTCCAACAACACCTTCTCCTAACGGCGACCCCTGACCCAGCCGCTTCCTCTCTAGCTTAAGTGGGCGTACAGCACTCTGAGGATTAAAGAACTAATTCAGGGTCCGGAGAAGAAAAAAGATAGCAGGAGCTGGTAAGGAATATAAATGAGTTAGGGGGGTTACTGCTGCTGTGCAGTTAGGTGTTTCAATTCTTTTCCAAAGAATGGAAATCAAGAATTTTAAGTGAGCCCTAGCTGGTTTGGCTCAGTGGATAGAGCATCAGACTGCAGACTGAAGAGTCCTGGGTTTGATTCTGGTCAAGGGCATGTGCCCAGGCTGCAGGCTTGATCCCCATATGGGGCATGCAAGAGGCAGCCTACCAGTAATTCTCTCTCCTCACTGATGTTTCTATCTCCCTCTCCCTCTCCCTTCCTCTCTGAAATAAATAAAAATATATTTAAAAAAGAGAATTTTAGCTGATATCTCAAAGTAATTTATTATTAATCCAAACACTGCTTACACTGCTTGGGCTAAACCACTAGCCATTACTGTGGCCATCTGATCTGTAATTGCTTGCTCCCGAAAGCACTCAGCAAAATGCCTGGCACATACTGCCATGTGTAGCTATTATCCCATCTAAACTAATAAAAGAGAAAGATGTAAATTGAACAAACCTCTGTGATGCCCACCAGCCAATCAGGAGTGGGTATGCAAATTAACCTAACAAAGCTGGCAGGTTCATTTGCATACACAGGCACGGAGCGAAGACTGAACACTGAAAACGACTGAAGACTAAAGAGGCTTGGCTTCTCCACTGTGGCCAGAGAAGAGAAGCCTAGCCTCAAGGCCAGGCTTCTCCACTGCAGCTAGTGTACAAACTTCATGCACCAGGCCTCTAGTCCTTAATACAATTCAAAATGTTACTAGTTTCAACAAATTGATGCTAATTGGTTGGTTGGTTGGTAGGTAGGCTGGTAAGATGGCTGACTGGTTTTTCGAATGAAAAGAAATGGTGAAAGTGAAAGCAAGAAAGGATTGAAAAGTTAAGCAACCTGAGTAGGACACAACAAAAGAAAACATCTCTTTCTTGAAATATTTTTGCCTTTGAGGCTATACTTTACAGAGGGAAAGTGTACATATCCTGAAGCTGTTCTACTGTGTTTGTGCCTTTACACTTCTTATTACTGGGGAAGTATTTAAATAAAACCCGG